CGTGGTAGACCTTGCTGTCTATGCAGGGTCAGAGAGCTCTCAGATTTCATCAAAAATATCTTAATTTGTGTTCTGAAGATAAATGAAGGTCTTACGGGTTTGGAACGACATGAGGGTGAGTAATTAATGACAGAATTTTCATTTTGGGGTGAACTATCTCTTTAATTATATTGTGCACTTTTGTTTTCTGAATTTGAACATGGTCAAACCTGTGCAAAATGAGGGCATTTTTGTGTGTAGTTTTACAGAAAACATTGAGAAAATTAGAACGTGTGTGAAAACAGGTGCAATATGTTAAAAGTTTTGAGAAATGTGTCTTTGTTTCAAGAACTGAATGAATGGTTTGGAAATTGGTCCAAATGGATCAGTTAAAGTGTGTTAACAATTGAGAAAAGCTGTAACCTAAAAATAAAAAAATAATTCTGAGGTCAACACATAAATGTATGACATTTTCCGGCAATATAGTCAAATTGATTGCACAGATACTATTTAAACTGAACTGAGCTGGATGATGACATCACTGAATCAATGATGAACTGACTTTAAAAATTGAGTGTTTACTACTGTCCTTGTCACGGAAACGGGTGTGTGGAGGCAGGCAGGACGATGAAGACGACAAGGATTCCAATAATGACATTTATTGTAGACACAACAAGGCAGGTTCAGGTAGGTGAGACACACACTCGGGGTAACATTAACAATAACCGACACCAATGCTCAGACAGACAGGAACTAATATGGGGTGAATAATTAGAGGCAGACAGGTGAGCACAATGACGGTGATTAACTAATGATTAGATGGGCTAAACCAACACAAAGGGAAGAAACCACAACAAACAGTCCACAGGGGCGTTACAGTCCTTTTGCATTGACACACTATTTTCCTGTTTAATACTGTAAAGCTGCTTTGACACAATCTATATTGTAAAAAGCACTATATAAATAAAGGTGACAGAAGACAGAAGAACACAAAACACTGAAAAGGGACGCTACATAAGGTGAGTAATGAAAATTATTTATTGACTGTGTGTGATCATTTAAATTAAAAAGTCATTTGATAGTAATAATACAAATTGTACCACTACAGTAAAAACTAAATGACCGATTTCAAGACAAATAGAGGTTGAGAAAAGCACAGAAACACATGGTCACTCAGCAAGACTCACACACACTGATCTTACTGTCTGTGCATCTCAAAACAATCGTTAAAAAGTTCATGTTTTTCTGTAACTTACTTCAAAAAGAGAAAATTTCATATATTCTAGATTCATTAAATGTACAGTAAAACATTTCAAAAGTTTTCTTGTTTTAATTTTGATGATTAGTGCTTACAGCTCATGAAAGTCAAAAATCCAGCATCTCAAAATATTAGAATATTTCCTAAGATCAATCAAAAAAAGGATCTGCAAAACAGAAAAGTTCAAGTTATGTAAAGTTATGTTTAGAAACTTCACACTGGACTTCAAGCAGCTTGGATTCAGTGCCTCTCCAGTCTTCCTTAAGACTCCAGACCTTGATTTCCAAATGAAATGCCAAATTTACTTTTATCTGAAAAGAGAACTTTGAAGCACTGAGCAACAGTTCAGTTCTTTTTCTCCGTAGCCCAGGTAAGATGCTTCTGACGTTGTTTCTGTTTCAGAAGTGGCTTGATAGCCCTCTTCCGGAAGACGTCTGAGCGTGGTGACTCTTGATGCACTGACTCCAGCTTCAGTCCACTCCTTGTGAAGCTCTCCCAAGTGTTTGAATCGGCTTTGCTTGACAGTATTCTCAAGCTTGCGCTCATCCCTGTTGCTTGTGCACCTTTTCCTACCAAATTTCTTCATTCCGGTCAACTTTGCATATAATATGCTTTCATACAGCACTCTGTGAACAGCCGCTCTTTCAGTAATGAGCTTCTGTGACTTACCCTCTTTGTGGAGGGTGTCAATGATTGTCTTCTGGACCATTGCAAGTCAGCAAGTCTTCCCCATTATTGTGGTTTCAAAGAACAAGAGATACATGGAATTTATACTGTAGGGATGGTCATTTAATGATACTCAAATTTAAATATTCTAATATTTTGAAATACTGGATTTTTGACTTTCATGAGCTATAAGCTCTAATCATCAAAATTAAAACAAAAAAAACTAATCATCAAAACTAAAACAAATACAACTTTTGAAATGTTTTACTTTACATGTAATGAATCTAGAATATATGAAAGTTTCACTTTTTGAAATTAGTTAGAAGAAAAAATTTACTTTTTCACGATATTCAAATTTTTTGAGATGCACCTGTATATGACGATTTATTACACACATTTATTCTGACATGTTATTTCACTCACAGAAGTTCAGCTGCAGTATTAATGTCATCAAGAGAAAAGAAGATACTCTATGACATCTCACTGTTACTGATTTATCATGTAGCTCAAAGCATTATGGGTAGAATCTCTCGTCAGTCTATTCTGATTCATCAACACAGTTTCACTGATGATTTATCATCATTAAACCCAAACCCAGGATAGAGCGGCTGAGTGAATGTGGTCTGGACTGTGTGGATGAGGCTCATTGTGTCAGAGACGCTGTAGAATGACAGAGTTCCTGCACTGTGATCCACATACACTCCTATTCTACTGCCTGCTGATGCTTTTATATGACACTGAAATACGCACATTATTATTTCCACTCCACTCAATCTCCCAGTAACAGCGTCCACACACACTCTCTCTACACAACACCTGAAAATAATAATCAAATCTGTCTGGATGATCAGGATACTGGTGATCTGTGTAAGTGTCAGTAATCACTCTGTTGCTCTCAGACAGACAGAGTTTTTTATTCACTGTGTTCAGATCCAGAGTAAGCTGATGGGAATCTGATGGAGATAAAACACATCAGAATCAGGAATTATGAATCTGTTTGACCTTTTAATGTAGCTGAACTCTTCATGTTCAGTGTATCGTCAGTGTCTCAGTACAGATGAACAGATATCTGTGCAAATCATCATTTACATAATTATAAAACTCTTCTTTCTCCTTCTACAGGAAGAACATGAACACACTCAGAGAGTTTTTCTGCTTGTTTTCTTACTGACTTACATTGTAGGAAGTCGTTCCTGGTTCTGGGAACAATGTTGGTGAATGTGACTGTGGAAATCAACAGACATGAACAGTGTGATTCTCATGATCCTGCATCCATTCCTAAGACATTTCTAATATGATGTTCTCCATGATATGAGATGATGATGGACTGGTTTCTGAGAGCAGATGAATCTCCAGGACTTTACCTCTGTCTGAGATCTTCTTGAGCTCCTCTTTGCAGAAATCCTCCAGTTTGTCTCTCAGCTGATGAACAGATTCTCTCAGAGCATCAGAAGAGACGAGAGAACTGAAGAGATCATCATTTACGTCTGTAGATTCAGGAGGTGCTGAGAGAGACTGGAAACTCTACAGAAAACAGAAATCAAAACTCATCAGCTCCACACTTCACCCAATAACCTGCACCAACATCAGATTTGTGCGGCTTTTGTTGACTCGACTGATCTTAAATAACGCACCTCAATCCAGCACTTTCACAGCATCAGCTTCATTCTTCTCATATTCATTATATCACATTAGAGCTACAGATTCTAGTATTTGCCACTTACACTCTGTGAACTTTCTAGGAAATAGTTTGGATGATAAAACATCTGCTAAGAACATAAATGTCCATCTAACAGCTCAAACACATCAATGGAGTCTCATTGTAGGGTTGAGTAGATTTGCTCAGGAAAAGCAGCTCAAAGGCTACGATTAGATTGACCATTATTTATAACTTTAGAGCGGTTAGAGACACTGAAGCTTCACAAGGACCCTTAAGACACACTCAGGTTTGGTTTGGTTTGGATTTAATACGTTGTAGCATTGCTAATATACAGCCTTACTTCATATTTGGCGTCTTCATGGTCAAATTTATCAATGTGTTAAGCCCGAGACACACTGCATGATTTTCGGCTGTCCCAGACGAAAGACTGGCATTGTGAAACAATCGTGGCAATTTCTGTGATCTCTCACTGTAGACACAGGACAACGGATTAGGAGCCACGATCACAAAAATTGCCACAATTGTTTCACGATGCCAGTCTTTCGTCTGGGACAACCGAAAATCATGCAGTGTGTCTCGGGCTTTACAGGCAAATAAAAATCTATTTTATCATATTTGAAGATCACCTGATCTAATTTTGATGAATGTTACTCAGAATTGGTACTATCGAGTTCTCTGTTTTCACCATGACATAATAAATGAGAAGGAAAAATTAGGTGAAAAGCTGAAATGTGGAAATGGGAAAAAGTGATGTTTTGAACTGTTGGTGGCGCTAGTGGTGTGCGGCTTCTCTCAATGGAGCGGATGAGCTCAGTAAAGATCCTCTCACTGTCCTCCACTGCTGTCTGTGCAGAGCGCTGTTAGGACACACAGTGATTCAGGCTTCAGTGAGTCTGAACTGAGACGGAGACAAACTTCTCTTCTTCTCCAGACTCACCTTATGAGACTCCACAGCCTCTCTCAGCTGCTGAAGATCTTTCTCTCTCTGCTGGATTCTCTGCTGGAACGTCTTCTGCGTCTCCTTCAGCTGCTTCTGCAGGACAAACAGATGATAGTGAACCTCACAGAAAACTACTGGCACTAAATCAAACATACTGTTGGATCACTGCACTGAGTATAAACTTGATCGGTAGTTTTAAATACCCGTTTCTCTGTCCTCTGGTCTGCAGCTGGTATAATGTCGTGGTTTTTATGTTCAATAATCGTACACAGCATACATATACATTCCTGGTCAGTGCGACAGAAAACCTCGAGGATCTTCTCATGTTTCTGGCAGATCATCTCCTGCAGTCGTCCAGTGGCATCAGTCACTTTGTGTGGCTTATGTGAATGAAACTCCTCATGATGGTCAAAATGATTTTGACAGTAAGATTCCTGACACATCAGACAAGACTTAACGGCTTTGTAATTTCTTCCAGTACAGACGTCACACTGCATATCTCCAGCTCCAGCGTCACAGTCAGCAGGTACTACACTTCAGTTTCTCTTTCCCTGAACTGATGTGATTCCTGTTTCCTGGTTCTGTGTTTGAGTCATGTGAGTAAAAGGGGTGTGTCTGCGAGTCTGTAAAGCAAGTTCCTCGTTCCTGCTCCAGTAGTCACACACACACACACACACACACACACACACACACACAAACACACACACTGAGAGTGCAGTGCGTTGTGAGTTTTTACAGTGTCTGTTCTATTCATGTCAGTGTTGTGCGTCAGTAAAATTAACTGAGAACACCTTTAAATTACTAAACAATTAATGAATTTGAATTATGCTAGGAAGTAGAATATAAATCATTTTCAAATACAAAGCAATTTTTAACTAGAAAGTGAAGTTTATCAACTTTGAATTTCTTTAAAAGATTACAAATTTTGACGTTTGAAAGACAGATACAAAAATGTCCTGTTTTTTTTTGTTTGTTCAGTGCTGCCCTGAATAAGCTGTTTGACATGACAGATGCTTATTTATAGTCCATAAGACAACATATTAACTGTATTTACACAAATTAGCTAGTTTTTACACAAATTAACAATTTATTACTGCTCTTCACAATAATAATATTAATTTGTTACATGTATATAGTGCTTTTCTAGACACTCAAAGTGCTTTACATTGTGAGGTTGGATCTCCTCATCCACCACCAGCGTGCAGCATCCACCTGGACGACGAGACGGCAGCCATAGTGCTCCAGAACACCCAAATCACAGCAGCTTACTGGTGGAGAGGAGACAGAGTGATGAAGCCCATCAGTAGATATAAGGGGATGATTAGGAGGTCATGATGCTCAGAGGCCAATGGGCATATTTGCCAGGATGCTGAGCTTCACACGTCTACTCTGTTCGAAAGACATCCTGGGTTTTTTTTATAACCACAGAAAGTCAAGACCTCGGTTTAATAAGCTCAGAATAAAAAGCCGTCCTGCGAGCCCAGCCCCAGAGACCTGATAAAAGAGTCCTAATGGTAACATGGGATTTATTTCTGTTCACACTGTCTAAACATGATCGGATTCCAATCAGATATGCACAAAAGTCAGATTTAAACTGACAGTCTGAACAATTCAAAAATAAAATTTTTATAATGTTTGCAACAAAATATAATATTCCAATGTTATTTTTATCATTCACATAACCGAGAATTTTTTTAAAACATTTAAAAACTAGATCTTGAGAGAACATTCAGAAATAACGTTTTCATAACATTAATGGAACGTTAGAAAAACGTTCTTAGAACATATTTTAGTTTGCTGGGACACACAGAGGCCTTCAGGAGCCGCTGGAGGTTTTGGGCCGCAGTCAGATCTGCTGCGTCCAGTAAAAGAATCACAGATAATTTGTCAATTTACACTGGTGAAATTATTGCAATTTACTGGCATTGCAATGGGTGGAGGAAAATAAGCCAATGCGGACATTCATATGTTCTGATTCAAGTTCATCTTTAATTACAATTAAAACATGTCATTCAGAGAGCAGAGCAGATATAATGATTGAGATTCTTCAAACAATATATAGGATCCAGATGATGGGAATTTATGTAGCTTTCTGTTGGGTACCAGCGCATGTGGGAGTAAAAGGAAATGAGTTAGCAGACGAATATGCAAAGGAAGCAACAAAGAAAGTAGACATAGATATGCAGATAAAGTATGGTAAGAGTGAAATGAAGTGTTTAATCAAGCAACATGTGAAGAATAGATGGCAGAAATATTGGGAAGAAGAAAGAGCAGGGAGATGGTTTTATAGCATTCAAAGAATTGTTGGTAAGTACAGAATAACAGGAAGAAATAGACATGAGGAAACTATAATCTCAGGGCTTAGATTTGGCCATACTGCTCTTAATAGCAGTTTAAAGAGAATGGGGAGACATGAAACTGGAAAATGTGAATATTGTATTATGGAGGAAAATGTAGAGCATGTTATAATGAAGTGTTCAAGATACGGAAAGGAAAGAAAGATACAGATTGATGTCCTCAAGGAAAATAAAGAAAAACTTAATTTGATGAACATTTTGGGGAATAAATCAGGGGATAAAAACATTCAATTTTTAATGCGTTATTTAAAGGACATGGGATTATATAATCGAATTTAGTGAAGAGTACGGTCCTGATCCACACTCCTAATCAGTAGGTGGCGGTAATGCACCTAAAAGTTGTATGCCATCCGCCATTAAACACCAAGAAGAAGAAGAAGAAGCTCTGCTGCGTCACTGTTTTAATGCTGGAGGATTGAGTTTCTCTAATAGCATGTATTCCTTTTAGTGGCAGAGAAACACAGTCAGCACAAAAACTCACTGTTTCAGATTCCAGACGTGCTCATTCTCTCGTACTGTAACACCTTCATATTCCTGCGGTCTGATAGATGTGCAGAATCTCTGTCTCATGTGTCAAGTGTTAAAAATACTCTGCACCCGGCTTTACCATCATGCACCGTAAAAATAATCCACCGTATTTACAGTATGTTACAACAGAAAAAATCTGGCAGCTGTGGACGCCACAAATTCACTGTAAAAATATGGCGATAACATTTCAGACGCAATGGATTTATTTTGAAACTATTTTCACTCAGAAATTGCTCATCAATTTCACAGATATTTACAAAGGAAAAGCAAGTAAATACTTTGAATTAAAAATGAAAAATAGTATTTTCTTGTAAAATATACCACAAATAATCTTTGTTTTACAAACATTTAAAAAAAAATTACTTTACAGTGCATTACGGAGTGGCATTTCAGTGCATTCCATCAAAAAACACGCAAGACACTAAAATAATGCAGTTAACACATCACCTGATCACCTGAATTCTGATCAGCTGCACCAGCTCATCAAGGACTCCTACATAAGCACTCTCAGTCACTCACAGTTGTCAGGTCTTGTTGTTTCCTACCGGACTACCCACCTGACTACCTACCTGTGATACACACCTGTTTATATCCGGTCTTCAGTCTTCTTCGTTCTGTCCTACTGCACCTGTGGATTTAAAAGGACTGTTGTCCTCAACTCAGTTACATTGCTGCTCATTGAAACCAGTCACTAACCTGCTTGTGTTTCTGCCCATATGTTAATAAACACCCGTTTTGGAAGATAACTGTCTGTGCTCTTCTTCTATTGTGACAGTTGCCTAAAAAAAGGAATAACAATGTAATCAAATGTGATGCATCTCTGAGGGACTTCTGGACATCTGGTTTTTACTGTAAATTCTGTTGAAATGGTCATTCATACACTTTACTTAAAAAAAACATGTACAGTATTATACAGTAAATGTTCACTGTAAAAAAATACTTTTTTGAAGTTGTAAATAAAACAAAGAAAGTATAGTTTAAAATAAAATACAATTTCAGTTTTTCTACATCAAAATTTAATGTTTAATTCAACATGTTACTTGACGTTTCTTTGTAATTAATCGTGAAATTAACTTTCAATTTCTGAGTGAAAACTGTTTCTACACCATTTTTTTTGTATAAGCCAGTATAATATATTTTTTACATTTATTTTTAAATTAAAATATTTCGATAAATATTAAGGTAATGTAAGATTTTAAAGGTAGAATTTTTAAATTTTTAATATGAGCAACATTTTTAGAGTGTGGAAGCTTGATTTTGTCAGGGCTAGTGTTAATTTCGTTAACGAAGACAATGACGGAAAATGTTCGTTGACGAGCTTTTTTCCCTTGACTAAGACGAGACGAAGACGAGAAGACAATAAGGTCAATAAACGATAACTAAGACTATATCAACATGCAATTTCTTTGACTAAATAAGACGATACTAAAAGGTATTCAAAAAGATAAAAACTTTACCAAAAACCTCTTTATTTTCGTCAAAAGAAAGGAGACAAATCACGTAAATAAACTCATAATTGCAAGACAAACTCAATTGTGCAATTGTGAGAAGTCCGAACTGTCAGATAAAAAGTTGCAATAAGATTTTGTTTACCTGATTTGTGAAACGCAAATTCATTCAGTAAGGAAACAGCGTTGTGTGTTGCTGCAGAGTCACACAACATGGCTTTGTTTGGAACCATTTTCTTTAGCGAAATAGTGTAAAAAAGACAATATTGTCTCAACAATTTAAGTCACTTAATATTTATTTCTTGTTTATTGAATTGTTGCACTGACACGAAGAAAAGTCTGTCACAGACCTGTATTATAGCGATAAGTTCTACAGTAAGTTACAGATTCCTGAAGCAGCTGCTGTAAGTTTTTACAGATGGTTGGTCAGTTTACATGTCGGTAAGAAGTAGAGCCTCAGTGACGGTTCTTGTCTGGAGTGAACACATGTAAGCATGTAAGTATCTACATGTAAGTAGACACTGTTGGATGTGCAGAGAGCAAACATGCGGTTCTAATAGAAATGATTTTAATGTGCATGAAAACTCAGTGATGATGCTTACAGGGCATAGTAATAAAACAGTCAGGGCTTCAGATCCTTTAGCTCACCGCTAGCGCAAACATCAGCAGTCCATCATCCTACAGCCGGAGAGGAGCCAAAATCAGCCAATCACATGTGACCGTCCGCCGTCAGCAGGATGTTGTCAGGATTAATGTCTCTACAGGAAGAGAACAGACAATGTGAGAGCAGTTAAAGGCAGTTCATTATTGAATTCAGTGATGTCATCAAGCAGCTCAGTTCAGTTTAAATAGTATCTGTGCAATCAAGTCAACAATATTGCTGGATATTAAGTGTCCCCAACTAAGCAAGCCAGAGGCGACAGCGGCAGTGCCCAGATTCATGTACACGATATTGTCCGGATTATGGACTTATCTGTGCGTGTTTTTGCCCCTGTGACCCAGTTTTTTCCTCATGTTGATTGTGTTAATTTGATTCCAGGTGTGTCTCTATCCTGTCTTTGAAAGCCCTAGTCCTTTCAGTTCTTGTTCGTCTGGTCTACTTGTTGAATGTCCTCCTTGTTCTCGGTTTTCCTGTGGATTATTAAAGACTGTTATTCAAGAACTCCTCGTTTCCTCGTTCCTTGCTCCCCGAGTGAATTGTGACAGATATGCTGATTCACAAGCTCGGGAGCTAGGGAGCTGATTGAGACGCACCCTAAAAGTGGAGTGGAACGCAGCCTGGGAGCAGGTTCGCCAATTTTTCAGATCGGAAGATCAGATTGTTTTTGTTTTTTTTTCCAGATTTTATTAAACGGTATGAACATTAAAGCAAAAAAGCAGTAGGCTACAATTACACACAGAAAGAAAATAAAAAAAATAAAAGAATATACATACAAACAGATGTGTTGCCAGGCTAACAAAAAAAAACAACAACAAAGTAATATATTTACATCTCAAAAGGACACAAATGATGAATAAAGAGATACAGTTTTCATTGCTTTCGGATTATTATAATTTTAGATTCTATTCCCCTCTGAAGCCTGCTCTCTTCCCCTGCTTTCTCGCTTGTTCGACAAGGGGCCAAAGATCGTTCCTGGTGTCTTTGGTGCTTTGCGTCAAGTCTTCAAAACTCCTGATTTTCCTTTCTTTGAGAACGGTTGCGGTTCTGACATCCCTCCAGATTTGATCTCAGACTTTGCGTGAAAGAAATTGTATGATAATGCAGCAGCTTGAGCGAGCTCCCTCAGAGCGAGGACCCAGTCTATGTGTGAAGTCAAGCATTTAGAGGAGCTGGTCTGCTATCTGAGGAGAAACTTTACTGAACAAATCGAATAGAATCTTCCAGACATCTTCTCCTCGCTGCTCCTGAATACCGGTGTTGTGCCGAAATCGGTGACCTAGCGAAAACTGTGAGCAGGGGTCGCTGTTCAGCAAATGTTCGTGCGGGAGCACACACGTTAGATCAGACGCTGAAGCCGAATGATCAGTGCTGGAAAAGATGTTTCATGTCTTAAGACTAAAGAAAACAAGCTAGATATTGTCACGAGCATCTAAATGCTTATATAGAAAAGACATGAAACATTAATGCTGCTGCTGTTGTCTGCTAATGTGATAGTCTACTACTAAGAATGGTTTCCTTATGAGATGTTTTAGCGCTTGTATAACATATTCTGATTTCCTGATAAATGTACATCTTATCTCTATTCTTATTACTAGTTAATGTAATTACTCAATAATGTTGCAGTTGGCTGTCACTGAATCTGACAAGTAAAATTTCATATAGCTATCAAAATGCTACCACTGTTTATTTCATAATAACTGACTAAAAATGTTTAATAAAGTGAATTATGTGATGTGTGAGCTCCTCTTCTTTCTATCTTACATAAATAAAGCATATGATCAGATATTGATAAATTTATAGATACAGTACACTCTTAAAAACATGTCTAAATAATGCTCCCACAATGTTTTATAACTTAAATTTGTTTCCTGTAATCTATGTGTGAGGCTTCCATTTAGAGCCCTGTGCGGGATCGTTCATAATGTGGATAACAGTGGCTGTAAAATACATGTTTAGGTATTGAAATTATATATTTTGAGTTTTGATATTTGTCCATTGTGCTACTTTGGGCTATTTTTGACTGGCATGGGTTAGTTTTGGGGGCAGTCATGGCCTAATGGTTAGAGAGTCGGACTTGTAACCCAGAGGTTGCGTGTTCGAGTCTCAGGTCCGGCAGGGATTGTCGGTGGGCGGAGTGAATGACCAGCGCTCTCTTCCACCTTCAATACCAGGTCTTCACTGTGTGTGTGTGCACTTGGATGTTTTAAATGCAGAGCACAAATTCAGAGTATGGGTCACATACTTTGTCACGCAGACCTGGCAATCCTGGCTGTATGGAGCAGAGCAGACGCTTTCAGTTTAGAATTGTAGCGTATGTTTACCAGCTGAACTACATTTTTATTTCTATACAAAAGTGAGGGTGGTGGCGCAGTGGGCAAGTAATGTAATCTGTGTACAACCAAACACCGTGTAACACAGACTACTGCAGCAAGCCTAGTGTTTATGGAATAGCAGGATATTTATATATACAGTACTGTGCAAAAGTCTTAGGCCACTAGTATTTTCACCAAAAAAAAAAAATGTTTTAAATCAGATATTTCTATCTTTTGCTGTAGTGTGTCAGTAGGAAATATCTGTTTACATTTTCAAACATTAATTTTGCCATTAATTTTTTGTGTGCTCCACACAGAGATCTGATCATCAGCAGTCTGTCTGGAATGACATGAAGAAACAGAACAAACTGAGACTGACTCAATCCAGAAGAACTGTGTCTCCGAGACGCTTCAAGAAACCTCCTGCAAAGCTACAGTGCTGTTAAAAGTTGTAGGCACTTGTGTAAAAATGCTGTAAAGTGAGGATGCTTTCAAAAATAATGGCATAAATAGCTTTTATTTTTTAATTAACTTTTATTAACTAAATTAAATCAACATTTAGTGTGAGCATCCTTTGCCTTTAAAACAGCTTTTGTCCTCGGTGCACTTGAGCAGAGTTTCTCAGGAGCTTTGCAGGAGGTCTCTTGAAGCATCAGTTCTTCTACTCAAAAAGATTAAGTTGTTCTAACTAATAATAATATATTATCTAATTCATTTCAAATTAACTTCACATTAACTTATATCTCTTATTCATACTTCAGCCAGTGGTAACCACAATACTAGCCGACTTACCAGAAACTCTTTTAATTATCAAACATAAAACAGCACTAAACACATGGATAACATGTTGTTAGTGTGTTAGTGTACTGATGTCTTGTTGTTTTTTGTTTATTCTTGATATCTTACAGGGTTCTGAAACATCCTGCCAAAGGACTGCAGTTGAAAATTAGCCGGCTGGCTAACACTGGCACATTTACAGAAATGTTGATTAATGTGAGTTGTCCTTTAAATAAATAAATAAATTCAGTCCCTTTCATGCAAGATTCAGTTCCTCACCTATTAAACCAAGTTATATTTCTTCCCGCTCCTGCCAGCAACTTTTACGTTTTTCTGTTCCTGCTAAATTGTTCTTCCCATCCGCTATCCCACAGGTAGAGATTTAGGCAGATTACAGGGTCCCATTTCTTCTGACCCCTTTCTTCTTTTGCATTTGTCGTAGCAGGTAAAAGGATACGGTGCTTCGAGTTTGTGCGGCGTGAGAGGGAAGTGGGAGAAATGACTCGAAATACCTACAAATATAATAAAAAATTACTCAAATGTATTTTGTTTTAAAGGTAGGCCTACAGAATGGTATTCTTCTATTGCGCAAGCATTAAACCCTTTGGAATGAGGATTTGTGAAAGATGAGTGGATTTTCTCTGAACCCCTTTAAACAAAACCAAAAAGAACTGAAGAAAACAAGTAATTCTCTGTCTCTTTTAGTGCACTTATTTATCTCTCTTTCGTCTCTCCAGGTGTTACTGTCTCACCTGTTGAGCTCTAAGTGTGTGTGTGTGTGTGTGTGTGTGTGTGTGTGTGTGTGACTCACCGTTAGCAATGGTGACCAGTGGCAGAAAAGAGCCGCGTTTACCGTAAAATATTGAGACACAAATAGAGGCACTCAGCTGCTTAACCAGGTGACCATTAAACACGCTGACTCACAAAACACACACACTCACACACACAGCTGCTTTCTCACCTCAAACACACCTCCATCAGAGGAAACAATAGGCAAGTATTCCTGTAGCGCAAACAAGGCACTAGCAATGCTGAATATAATAAGTCGCTTCGGATAAAAGCGTCTGCCAAATGCATAAATATAATGTAAAATGTAACAATCAGCCTCTTTTGATGAGTTACACTCACATATTCACTCTGAAAAATTAAGTTATTTGTCTGCAAAGTCAGTTGTAAAAATAAAAATAAATGAAAATAAAAGAATCATTCCAGAAAATGTCATGCCGACTTTAAACAAGCATTAAACCAGCGTCCCAAACAATCACAACAGCCTTAAAACACAATGTGAAGATGTGTGAGCCTCACAGTAAACACATTCACAAAAGTTTCTGTTTAATATAATATTCGGTCTCAGCTGCATCATATGAAAACTGTCAGCTGAAGATACCATTAGATCAGAAATACTCATCTGAAGAGAGTAAAGCAGCACAGAGAACCAGAAACCACACAATCTCTAGAGTTACACAGGGATGATATTTTTACACACGGTCATTTTAAAACTGTGTCTGATTGTCAGCAAAATGAAAGAGCGCCACGGGACACACAGATCAGATCAGGACACTTACTATGCACAGTGCGGACAGTCCAATCGGACACACACATTCCTAATCATATTTATACTGACAGTCTGAACAAGGCACTAGTTTAGAGATTTGCAGAAAGCATTGAGCAAATTGGATCATGTGTGAAAACAGGTGAAATGTGTTTACATTTTTGAGAATTTAGGGTTTGAAAAATTGGTCCAAATTAATCAGTTAAAGTGTGCTAACAATCGAGACAAACTGTAACACAAATTATTAACAAGCTGTAACCTAAAAATGAATTCTGAGGATAACAGCTAGATGTGTGACAATAAAAAAGCGGTTCGTGACGCTGGAAGACAGAAGAACGCAAAACGCTGAAAAGTGCTGGAGCTCTATAAGGTGAATAATGAAAATTAATGATTGACTCTGTGTGATCATTTGAACTAAAAAAAGTAATTTTGATAGTAATAATAAAAATTGTGACACTAAAATAAAAGTAAAAGACTGATTTCCATCAACACAAACAGAGAAAAGCACAGAAACACAGTCACCGAATCACACTCACACACACACACACACACACACACACACACAGATCTTACTGTCTATCCACCTTTTTCTTGCCATAAATTCTATGGGTCTAGCTTCCGGTCTCATCCGCTTCCAGCTATTTTTAGCTGTATAAAACAGTTAGTTTTGCGGCTTGATATTGAAAATCGGTGTGTCTTAGCATATTATTTTAATCTATTATCTTAATTATTAACGCACTGGTTTGTAGTGCAAACAGTTTTACCGTTTACTGCACGTTGTTATTCTTGTCGTTATTTATAGCAGTTAATGACCCGGAAGTCTCGCTCATAGGCTTGCTTCCGCGGTGAAGAAAAAAGTGAATATGAGGATTTATTACACATTTATTCTGACATGTTATTTCACTGACTGAAGTTCAGCTGCAATATTAATGTCATAAAGAGAAAAGAAAAGACTCTATAACATCTCACTGTTACTGATTCATCATGCGGCTCAAAGCATTATAAGTAGAATCTCTCTACATTATAAGTAGAATGTCAGTCTATTCTGATCCATCAACACAGTTTCACTGATGATCCAATACAAACCCAAAACCCAGGATAGAGCGTCTGAGTGAATGTGGTCTGGACTGTGTGGATGAGGCTCATTGTGTCAGAGACGCTGCAGAAGGACAGAGTTCCTGCACTGTGATCCACAAACACTCCTATTCTACTGCTGATAGACTTCACAGGGAGAGCAGTCTCTATGTTATTGTGCCAGAATGAGTATCTGGAGGGAGAGCAGAACAAACTCCAGGACTGATTATTATATCCAAACAAACACTCATTACCATATCCCTTCCTGCTCGTCCCCTCCTGCTGATGCTCTTATATGACACTGATATATACACATCTCCACTCCACTCAATCTCCCAGTAACAGTGTCCACACACACTCTCTCTACACAACACCTGTGACCACTCATCAAATCGGTCTGGATGATCAGTATACTGGTGATCTGTGCCAGTGTTAGTAATCACTCTGTTGTTCTCAGACAGACGGAGTCGTTTATTCACTGTGTTCAGATCCAGAGTGAGCTGATGGGAATCTGATGGAGATAAAACACATCAGAATCAGAAATTATGAATCTGTTTGATCTTTTCATGTAGCTGAACTCTTCATGTTCAGTGTATCATCAGTGTCTCAGATGAACAGATATCTGTGCAAATCATAATTTATTAGGGCTGCCCCGTAATAGAGGCATAGTCGATCACAATTTTATTAGACGCAGGGGGAAAAAATCCACAGAAAGTGGTGAAGTCAGTAGTCCGTGACGGACAGGTCATTAACAGATGGTCTGTGTGGTAATTAAGAACATTGGTCAGAACAAGGGGTGTGCGATACATATATTGTCTGCGACAATTTCGTAATCGTTGTTTTAACGATGTGCGATTTGACCGAGTATATCGCAAAAACCATGCAAAACACACTACAGAGTGCACACATTCATCACGTGATGAAGTATAGCAGGTTAGACTAGTGCTTGATTCAGTCTATTAAAAACATTTAGAATGATCACAAATTCAAGACATGGAGACAGAAAATGTATATATTTATATAATTTCATAAAGTTAATATCACAAGAAGAGTGCCGTTTTTCTTCTCCAAAATTTAGCATGATTAGAAATGTGATATTGATTTTTTAAAACAGTTCAATAAACAAGAAGTTAGTTAATATTAAGGGATTTACGTTTTAGACACCATATCGCCAGTTTCTGCTCTATTTCGACAACAAAAATAATTCAAAACAAAGCCACAGCACAGTTTTGTACCTCTGAGCAACATGACATGTTTCGTTCCTGAATGAATCAACTGTTTAAATGATTCGATTCAGTCGCAATGACTCACCTATTAACAGTGACTTACTGCCTCCTGTTGGCAGTTTTAATTTCACATTTAAAGTATTTTTTATTTTTTTTTATAATGCCCATAAAAGGTAAAAATCTATTTAAACTTATTGGAAACGATTCATTTCTGTCTCTGCTATGAACTGACCACCACACAAGAAGAATATCAAAAACTTTAGGAGTCAGCTGTCCACAGTACAATAACACACTCAGCAAAATATCGCCTAATTATCATTATCCAAACAGGCCAGAGGGGGAGACCGGAGAGTCGAGGAAGGGGACTTTATCCGTGTCCTTGATCTCTGTGAGGGTCAACCATAGGTGGCGCTCAAGCACCACAAGGCTGGCCATGGATCTACCGATCGCCTGAGCCGTCATCTTTGTGGCGCGTAAAGCCAGGTCGGTCACGCTGGATAGCTCTTTGCAAGCCGCGGGGTCCGGTCCAGACTGGTCCATTTTCTGGAGAAGTTTGGCCTTAAGGACCTGGAGGACCGCCATGGAGTGAAGCACCAAGGCCGCTTGTCCAGCAGACGAGTAGGCCCTTCCAGTGAGTGCTGAATTAGTCCTGCACTGCTTGGACAGGTGGGCGACCTTTGTCTTCCAGCTGATGGCCATGGGCGGGCAGAGATGCACGGCCACTGACTCATCCAGGGCAGGCAGTTTGTCATACCCCTTTTCTTCGGCGGCGTCGACCATAGTGAGGGCAGACGAAGAGGAGGTACGCAGGCGGGCAGAGTAGGGGGCACGCCAAGATCTGGTGATCTCTTCGTGGACTTCCGGAAAGAATGGAGAAGCTCGTTGTCGAGGGGCTTGACGGCACTCATCCGAAGAACCATTCATCCGGGCGGCTGCGGGTGGGCTACTCCGGCAGAGACCAATCCAAACCCAGCTCTTGAACAGCCTTAGACAGAAAGCAAAAGACTTCGGCGTCCATGCCTGTGCTGGCAGCGCTGGGCTTTGCAGATGGCGGGGGGGCGGGGGCGAAAGACGAGCCCGACAGCTCCTCCGCATTTGAGGCAGCCAGAGACACACCGTCGTCCATGGCGTCACACTCACTTCCACCGAACGAAACCAGATCACTTGTAGCCACAGAGGGATGCTGGTCCGAGTGCGAGAAGAGGACAGGGGAAGCCTCTCTATGTGGAGAGAGTGAGGCATGCGGGGGCTCAGCCGGCATGAGCTCACTCATCACCGAGCGCTGAGATCCTCTGCCCAGCTGCATTTTCCTCACAGGTTCCTGGGAGGAAGGAAGTGGGAGGGCGAGGGGCGGAGTCGCTTTCTGAAAAGAAAGCTATCCGCGAGCGCAGAGAGGAGAGACTCATATCCTCGCAATGGGGACATTCCGTCTCGTTAAGTGCAGCTTCAGCGTGGGCAGCGCCCAAGCATGAAACGCACTTGCCGTGACCATCAGCGGTGTGCAGGGGAGCCCTGCACGAGCGACAGTAGTGGCGCTGCATTTGTAACAACGCCGGAAATTTGCTCTAGAAATTTGCTCTAATAGTCGCCGGATAGCGGCAGGGGACCGGGAGACCACGCTGCTGCAGACGCCAAAGGCAGCTGAAGAGTGGCAAAGTCAGCCGAGCAGAGAGGGGTCTTGATCTGCTGCGAGGCTTGTTCACGGCGAAGGCTTCATAGTCTTGTAGTGCGAAGATCTGTAGTCGTCGCTGAAGGAGAAGAAATCTGAGGATCCTATGGCGAAGTGCACGCTTATATAGCCAGATGGCCCACCCAAAATGGTGCTGCCGAGCCATTGGTTCGTTTTTAATACACTGCACGAACCAATGGCTGTGCAGTTTCACTGCGTGATTGAAAAAGGCTTCAGTATTCGGAGAAAAATAAGTTTGCCCTTAGCGTCTTAAGCAAGATGCAGTACGAGTGAAGTATCGATAGGGAACCCTAGTTTATCAATGAATTATTATGAGTCTTCTTGCTGTTTTTTTCCCTGAAACATTCATAATCATTACTTCTACTGTGCTCTGTGGCAAGCTTTATGTGTGCGCTTGAGCACTGATAGGCTATAGGCAATTAAAGTCTCATTATTATGAATTATATGGTTAATTAATATAAATGTGCGATTAATCGCTTCAAATGAACTACTGTTAGTCGATCAGAAAAAATATTGAGTCAAGGGCAGCCCTATCATTTACATCATTTATAAAATTCTACTTTCCCCTTCTACAGGAAGAACATGAACACAGTGAGTTTTTCTGCTTGGTTTCTTACTGACTTTGTAGGAAGTCGTTCCTAGTCCTGAGTGAGTTTTCTGCTGGTTTTCTTACTGACTTACATTGTAGGAAGTGGTTCCTGGTCCTGGGAACAATGTTGGTGAATGTGACTGTGGAAATCAACAGACATGAATAGTGTGATTCTCATGATCCTGCATCCATTCCTAAGGCATTTCTAATACGATGTTCTCCATGATATGAGATGAAGATGGACTCATTTCTGAGAGCAGATGAATCTCCAGGACTTTACCTCTGTCTGAGATCTTCTCGAGCTCCTCTTTGCAGAAATCCTCCAGTTTGTCTCTCAGCTGACGGACAGATTCTCTCAGGCCATCAAAAGAGACGAGAGAACTGAAGAGATCGTCATTTACGTCTGTAGATTCAGGAGGTGCTGAGAGAGACTGGAAACTCTACAGAAAACAGAAATCAAAACTCATCAGCTCCTCCCTTCACCCAATTACCTGCACCGACATCAGATTTGCGCAGCTCTTGTTGACTTGACTGATCTTTAGTAACTCACCTCAATCTAGCACTTTCACAACATCAGCTTCATTCTTCTCATATTCATTATATCACAGTAGGGCTACAGATTCTAGTATTTGACACTTACACTCTATGTGAATTTTCTAGGAAATAGTTTGGATGATAAAACATTTGCTGAGAACATAAATGTCCATCTAACAGCTCAAGCACATCAATGGAGTCTCATTGTAGAGTTGAGTAGATTTGCTCAGGAAAAGCAGCTCAAAGGCTACGATTAGATTGACCATTATTTATAACTTTAGAAATTTCACAAGGACCCTTAAGCAGAGGTGTAAAGTAACTAATTACAAATAATTTCGTTACAGTACTTGAGTACATTTTTCATTTTTTTCTACTTTCTTGAGTATAATTAAATTGTGGTACTTTTACTTTTACTTGAGTTGAATAAAAATAAAATATTCAACTTCGCTACATTTATTTTTCGGCAAAAGTACAAAATAGACAAAGGTGCCGATGGAGAAACAGGGCAAGCTGGCGTTTGATGGGCACTGCGCTTCAGACAATAACAGACAGGTCTGACTCGGGTGCAAAACCAAACAAAACTTCCAGTTCAGCTGGGGGCGGGGCATTCAAACCACGCTTTGCTTTGACAGTCAATCACTGGCGTTGGCATTTTTAATCAGTATCATTAACGTTTCAATGTTTTAGTGAATGTATGAGCTATGCTCTCATTTGAAATTGTAATTTTGACAGCTCCTGAAATGGGTCATACCATTGATATTACCAGAGCACTCAGCAGTTTAAGTAAAGAGAAAACTCGGTTGATAGAAGGACTAGGGTTGGGTACCGAAACCTGGTACCAATATGGCACCGTTTATATGTTCTGTTTACTCAGTTACAGCTATAGTAGCGATGCCTTTGTCCATATAAGGGATTTCCTGGAGGGTCATGAGTTCCGCTACCTCTGTGACTGGATATGTCGATTTTCTTTGCGAGGGCGCTCTCTGGCGTCCAGTATGAATGAAACCGACATCATGTGTTCATACGTGCTAATGACCAATCCATCATTTTTTGGGGAAAGTTTTATTTATTTATTTTTAATAAGTATCGGTTCAGGCACAGTTTAGGCACTGGAACCGTTTTAAAAGTATCGATTTGGCACCGGTATCGAAAAAACCCCAAACGATACCCAACCCTAAGAAGGACGCAGTTATTGCATGGACGGAGAACGAACAATTTAAGTGTCTAAAATGCATGCATGCACACAGTTCAGCTGAATGGTAAAGCACATTTAAACTAATTGTACAAAGCAAACTTAGTACAAAGCTGAAATAACCTCAACATCAACAATGATTTTTCTGTCAATCAGATGCACGTAAAAGTGTTGTTTGTTAGAATAGCAACGGTGGACTCCAGGCATATTTTCGGTGGAACGAAAAAGTAATATTTGATTTAACATTAACCCGTAGCTAGGCTTGGGAATCAAAAATTGGATACCTGTTATAAAAATAAAAATTTAAATTCCTTATATCGATTCCTTTGTGCCAATTTAATACGATTTTAAATCACTCAAGCAAGAAGACTCATGCACAGAAAAAAGCTATTTTAAACTATTCAAGCCAATAAGACTCGTGCACTGTTTTCTCTGCTGCACACACATCCAAGACCTGCGCGCTGCCTCTCATACTGTATAGTGTGTGATACTAGTGTGTGAGTCCTCTTCCATGTCTTTTTACATTTGAAAGGACAAATACACACACACAGATATGTCAAAATATCCTCGTAAACGCAGTCAGTTATGTAAGTGAACGTAAACAGTTGTGAAAGAAAACACATGTGCAACAATATATTGGATCTATGTAATATATTGGGTCCATGAGTCTCACTTATGAAACAGACATTACATGAGAGTGTTTAATAATCCATAATGCTCACATCGCCTCATTTTGGGTAAAAATAGAAAAAGAATACTAAAGTACTTTGTAACGCAGTAACTTCAGTAGTTCCCTTTCGAGGGAACTTTGAACTGCGTCCTCTAGAGGTCGCTATGGGGGACGCCTTCAGTGTGACCGGTGTCAGAAGCCTACATCTAAAAACGACAATAACATTGGCCGGCAACAGCCAATGACGTCATTACCCTGCGCGATCACAGTATAAAAGGGTGCCAGGATAACACGTCATCCTCTTCGTCGTCTTCACTGACCGTTTGTTTACGTTAGCGTTAAGCTAAACACGACTTGGAGTGCATGTTTTCTTGCCAGAGGCTTTGCTCTGATACCTGCAGTTTCAAATGGCTTGCTTGCTGTGTGTGTGTGGTGAAGAGCAAGCACGTTCAGCTCTCGAAGGAGTTGGATGCGCTCTGCATTCATTGATTATTTCTTGTGAGGGATAAGCATTAATTGAACGTGCTTGTCTCACGAGAAGACGGCTTGTACTCATCGTGATGCATTCGCGGGACTACTGAGGGGGATGTGAGTACTTCAGCATTTACCTGAGTTTGTAGATAGTGTTTGCATGAGTGCGTTCGCGGGAATAGCAACGCATTTGCGGCAGCGGTTTTTGTTCGCGCTTGATTTCCAAGGTAATCTAGTGGTTGGGCGGAGCGTGTTTAGCTCCCGCGGGAGCTGAATGCATGCTGCACGTTGCGGACGCGGTGAGAACATGGAAAGGACCTGACGGGAAATTTCTCCCTATCAGTAATTTCCTTTTGTTTATATAGGAAGTGTATAGTGTGGATCTGTCTGCAGTTGTTGGACAGATGATTTATATCATGTCCTTCTCAGATAACCACATTATACTGCACTCCGGCTGTAATGTGTGATCCCATTCTAGCAGGATCCCATTTCTGATGTCCCATTTGTGATCTATCTGCCCTGGGCATGGCTGTGCTCCTCTCACTGCAGGAGGGTCCCTTTGAGCTCACCGGTCCTGGACAGACTGGGTGAGTCCTCCTCTTGATTCGAGAGTTAGGTCCTCTATCCTGGGCTATTGGTCGCTTCAGTCGAGCTTGGTTCCTCTCTCTCTTCGCTAGGGGTTGAACTCTCCGCTCTTGAGCTCCGTGGTAGTGACATCAGGTAGTTGGGCCGCTTGCTGCTTCCCTGATAAGCTGCCTCTATTCAGGTCAAGCCAGGCAGTGCTCCCCTCACCTCAGAGGGTTGTCTTTGAGCCTGCCGCTCCCGATTGAGTGTTTGAGGACTTCTGGGCATCTGTGAGCAAATGCTTCGGGATATTTCTAAATCCATGCTATGGTAAGTGCACACGCTAAGCTTCTGTGCACATTCTAAAATCTACATTATGCTAATTGTGCACGCTAAGCACTCTGCACACTTTCTCAAATCCTGTATGGTAAGGGTTACGTGCTGTCAGCCTCGTTCCCTTTCTCTGAGTTGGCTTAGGCCCCGGTACTCGCTTTGGGCTCCACTCAACTAATGTATTTCTTTTATACATTTCTGAGCAGGGTAAATCCATGCTATGGTAAGTGCACACGCTAAGCTCTGTGCACTTTCTAAAATCCACATTGTGGTAAGTGTGCACGCTAAGCATTCTGCGCACTTTCTAAAATCCTGTATGGTCATCATGGTGAGCCAGTGAGTTGCCCCTCTGTGGAGTGGGTCTGAGTACACTGGGTTCTCTGAGGTATGAAGCTCTCTATCAGGTAGAGAGCATGAGACTGGATTGGGGTTTCAATGCAATGCCTTTAATCTAGTTAGCATCGCTCCCCTCACTGTAGAGGGATATTATGAGCATGCAGATGCTTGGAAAACTCTAAAATCCAAATACTATGGTAAGTGCGTTAAGCTTTGCGCACTTTTCTACAAATCCACATAAGTGGTAAGTGTGCACGTTATGCTTTGCGCACTTTTCTAAAATCCACATAAGTGTGCACGTTATGCTTTGCCCATTTTTCTAAAATCCTGTATAGTAAGGGTTACGTGCTGTCAGCCTTGTTCCCTTTCTCTGAGTTGGCTTAGGTCCCCGGTCGCCTTGGGCTCCACTCAACTAATGTATCTCTGTTGATACATTCTGAGCAGGGTGGAAAAAAAATGCATGTTTGGGCCCTGTTGTTTCCAGGCTCTGCGGGTCTGGTTAAAGCAGGACCCATGCTCTCTAGCGGGTAGAGAGCACGAGGCTGGATTGGGGTTACAATGCCTTTAATCTAGTCAGCATCGCTCCCCTCACTGTAGAGGGTTATTTATGAGCATGCTGCTTCCTTCCGAGCGTCGAGTTCCCTCCCCTTCAGAGGAGTTGAATTCCCCATTCCGTGGGCTGTTCTCGTGGTGGACTTTAGCAGTGCTCCCCTCATGTAGGTCGAGCATCTGCCTCCCTCTCTCGGCTGAGAGCTGTGTGTTATGCTCCATCAGCTAGGTAACTTACTGCTAGCCAGACCAGCATTATGACCATGATGATGAGTTGGTGACTTCTCAGACGTATTGTTCTATGGGATGCGCCATTTCCATCTATGTGCGCTCTGTGTATGCTGTGGACTGCTCCCTCAGAGTGTCACGTTCACATAAGCTCTAGATCTGTCTGGTAAACAGTCTCTAGGACCCCTTAGCAACGGTATCTTTAAAATCCATGTTATGGTAAGTGCGCACACAAAGTCTCTGTGCACTTCCTAAAATCCATGCTGTGGTAAGTTCGCACATCAAGCATTTTGCGTTCTTTCTAAAAATCCTGTATGGTAGTGGTTACACGCGTGCCCTTACTTTGAGTCGTTCAGGCCCCGGTTCCACCTTGGGCACCACTATACCTATGTATCCTCAGTGATACCTACTTTAACAGGGTGTTGCTACTAGGGGTCTGTCGAGACAGTTCCTTCAGCAAGCTCATGCAGAGCAAGCGGTAGCCCCCTGGGTGACAGGCCAAGACCTAGTTACGGTTCTAGGCGCTTGGTCGTATCCCCTTAAAGGAATCTCTTCCTGATTCCAAACCTTTGAGCTCTACCCTGGGCCCAGGAGTCCTGGCCCTAACAGGTAAGTTTATGGGGTATGTAGCTTAGGCCTTTGGCCGTAGGGGATAATGTCACTGACAGCCGTCTAACTGTCCAGGGGCAACTCCCTTAAAGCTTTGGTAGAGTTGGTACTTAATGCTAGCCTGTGGTTTGGCATGCACTCCCCTCAGCATGGTGGCGTGGGTATACCGTTCCCCATAGCGACCTCTAGAGGATGCAGTTCGAAGTTCCCTCGAAAGGGAACATCTCAGGTTACGTATGTAACCATGGTTCCCTGAGAAGGCAACGAAACACTGCGTCCTCTAGTTTCCTTGCCATGCTGCGGATGCTAGCTTCAGACGAAGAAGTGGATGACGTGTTATCCCGGCGCCCTTTTATACATTTACATTTACATTACATTTAGTCATTTAGCAGACGCTTTTATCCAAAGCGACTTACAAATGAGGAGAATAAAAGCAGTCAAAACTAACAAAAGAGCAACAATATATAAGTGCAAATGACAAGTCTCGGTTAGCTTATCGCAGTACACGTAGCAAGGTATATATATATATATATATAAATAAAATACACACACATATATACACATATAAACACACACACACACACAAAGAAAAAAAATTGATAGAATAGAAAAAATAGAAAGCTAGTTTAAAAAAAAGGGAACAAAAAGATGATAAATAGATAAAGTAGAATTAAAATAGAATAGAAAGTGCTAGAGTTAGAGAATCCATGTATCATTCGTTTTTTGATTTAATATTGAAAGTAGAAAAATTAGAAAATGGCTCCTTTTTTGTTTTTTTGTTTTTTTCCAAAAAACGAAAAATGAGAATTCAGCTTAAATTTTCGTTTTTCGTTCATGGGTGGAAAAATGAATAAACAGCTTGAATATTCGATTTCTACATGTGGGTGGGAATTAAACGCTCTTTTCTGCTGATTGGTCAGCCGAAGATCAAACCGTGCCTTCATCAGTTCTTCCGCAGTATCAGACAGCAGAATAATAGTCCTCCACTGCTGCAGTTGTACGGATTAATAACCCATTTGATCAATTTCATATTTTTCTCATCAAACAGACTAATGAATAGCTCGACACAACTCGTACCGGGGCAGAGTCTAGACAGGGCTTTCTTCTGTGTAGATATAAATTCTATTCGTTGCATCAGCTGGTTTGGTGGCTTGACACATGCAGGTTACAAAAAAAAAAATCAATTTCTGTTTTTGAGTAGATCTTAAAAATACAGCTAGAGGACTGGCACTTGAAAGCAACTTGGAAAAATAGTGCATGTTATGTTGCGGTCACACCTTCCTTTATATCAGTGGTTCCCAAACTTATTTGTCAGTGAATACCTTAAGACTTAAAATCATGCTTCACTTCACTTCACTTTACTCATGCTTTTAACGTGACAAATCCTTGAGCTTTAAGTTTGGCAGAATATTGGTGAAATGCTGTAAACTTCTGTCCACAAAAATGTTGCCAAATATCAGAATGCGAATGTAAATAAAGCAACATAGGCTCATTAAAAATTCGTGCCTCTAAATACATTTCTGCAAAACTGAAAAAATTTACCTATACGTACGAATCGCTGCATTGAGTTGGGCAGGTCATTCCACCAGGAGGGAACAGTTAATGTAAAAGTCAGTGAAAGTGATTTTGTGCCTCTTTGACATGGCACAGTAATGCATCATCTGCATAATCGTTCACTCCAAGAGAGCATTGCAATAGTCCAGCCTGGATAGAACAAGAGCTTTATACTGTGATCGTGCAGGGTAATGACATCATAGGCTGTCGCCCGGCCAATGTTATTGTCGTTTTTAGATGTATGCTTCAGACACCGGTCACGCTGAAGGCGTCCCCCATAGCGACCTCTAGAGGACGCAGTGTCTCAATCCCTTCTCAGGGAACCATGGTTACATACGTAACCTGAGACGTTTTTCAGCAAACTACTTATTTACTCTTGAGTCACATTGTTTGTCAGTACTTTTACTTGTACTCAAGTAAAAATTTACTAATAATTTACTTGTAAATGATTCCTTAAGTAGCAATACTTTTACATAAGTAAAACATTTTTAGTACTCTTCCCACCACTGCCCCTTAAGACACGCTCAGGTTTGCTTTGGTTTCAATACGCTGAAGCATTGCTAATATACAGCCTGATTTCATGTTTGCTGTCTTCATGGACAAATTCATCAATGTCAGTTTTATCAGTTTTGAGGATCACCTGATCCAATTTTGATGAACATTACTCAGAATCAGTACTATTGAGTTCACTGATTTCTCCATGAAGTAATAAATCAGAAGGAAAAATCAGATAAAAACACAACTAAACATTAGTGAAGTTTTGAACTGTTGGTGGCGCTAGTGGTGTTTGACAGCTAAATATATCTTCCAGAAGAAAGAGCTCAGAGAAATGATTCCTAAGAGATTTCCAGAGCTGAAAGCCATTTATAAGCAGTGTCTCTTTCAAAAGAAGATCATCAGATGAGAGTCTGACTGATGATTATATAATAAAACACGCTCTGAAATGTTTCTCTGTGAGTCTCTGTCACAGCAGAATCTGCTCAAGTCCACTATGATCCTGTTCTTCTAGATCTCTGTTACCTGCAGGAACTGGATGTGATCCTGTGTGTGTGAAAGCTGCTCCAGCTCAGCGTCTCTCCTCCTCAGATCATTGATCTCCTGCTCCAGTCGCTCCAGTCGTCCTTCAGCTCGACTCACTGCAGTCTTTTCCTGATCTCTGATCAGCCGTATCAGCTCAGAGCGGCTTCTCTCAATGGAGCGGATGAGCTCAGTAAAGATCCTCTCACTGTCCTCCACTGCTGTCTGTGCAGAGCGCTGTTAGGACACACAGTGATTCAGGCTTCAGTGAGTCTGAACTGAGACTGAGACAAACTTCTCTTCTTCTCCAGACTCACCTTATGAGACTCCACAGCCTCTCTCAGCTGCTGAAGATCTTTCTCTCTCTGCTGGATTCTCTGCTGGAACGTCTTCTGTGTCTCCTTCAGCTGCTTCTGCAGGACAAACAGATGATAGTGAACATCACAGAAAACTACTGGCACTAAATCATCATGTGAACAGATGAATCCAGTAAAAGTGGAGCTGATAACTAATGGCTGTAAGTTCAAAGTCCAAAAAGGATGATTGATCATTTACCACCATCGTACATTAATTAACATGAAGATTAAGGCTTGCTTCATGCTGCAAGTGTAAGTATTATAAAAGTGAAACTGACACGGACATAGAGCTTCACACTGACAGTGTTTCTGTGTTCTGTGTAATTAAGCTGCGGCTCTACACACAGAAAATAAACAGATTGTTGGATTACTGCACTGAGTATTAACTTGATTTCTAGTTTTAAATACCTTTTTCTCTGTCCTCTGGTCTGCAGCTGGTATAATGTCGTGGTTTTTATGGTCATCCGTCGTACACAGCACACATATACATATACATTTCTGGTCAGTGCGACAGACGACAGAAAACCTCCAGAAGCTTCTCATGTTGATGGCAGATCATCTGCTGCAGTCGTCCAGTGGCATCAGTCACTTTGTGTCTCTTTCCTGAGCGAAACTCTTCATGACGCTCAAAGTGAGTTTGACAGTAAGACTCCAGACACACCAGACAGGACTTGACAAATTTGTGTTTTCTTCCAGTACAGATGTCACACTCCACGTCTCCAGGTCCATTAGGAACAGCAGCTTTTAGTTTGGTCTTCTTCAGTTTCTCCACCACTTCAGCCAGCATGGTGTTTCTAGCTAAAGCAGGTCTTGGACTGAAGGTTTGTCTGCACTGAGGGCAGCTGTAGACTCTCATCTGATCCTCCTGATCCCAGCAGTCTGTAATACAGATCTTACAGTAACTGTGTCCACAGGGAATGGCCACTGGATCCTTCAGGAGATCCTGACACACTGGACACAAGAACTCCTTCTTATTTACTGAAATTCTGTCTTCTTCCATTTTACTGCATGAATACAGAAACACAAACACACAGCAGCTCAACTACTCTTCAGCTTCTCTTCTACTGAAATCAGGTGACTCCTGTTTTTTTTTCTGTTTGTGTGACGTGTTTAAAAAAAAAAAAAACAGGTTTGTCTGCAAGTCTTTGTAGCAGTTTCCTCATTCCTGCTCCTATAGAGTCTCCTATACACACACACATGCTGATAATCATATCTTAAGTAGAGTCAAAATCAGTTGAAATAACTAGAAAAGTGAAGTTTATTAAAACAGATTTTGAATTTCTTTAAAAGATTACAAATATTTAAGGCTGCTATATAGATACAGTTAATTGATACAAAAATGTCCTATTGGTTTTATTTAGAGCTGCCCTGAATAAGCTGTTTAACATAAGATCACCAGAACACCCACCACACACACCAGCTTATTAGTAGAGAGGACACAGAGTGATGAAGCCCGTCAGTAGATATATGGGATGATTAGTAGGCCATGATGCTCAGAAGCCAGCATTCTCTTTCGAAATGGTTTCTCACATTGCGTGAATACACTTGGGGAACAATGTCCAATATAGGGCTGAAACAATTAGTTAACATTATCACAATGTCAACAATAAAAATTGTCAACAATAATTTTTGTTGTCGAGTATTCGTTTGATCTCATATGACCTGATGTAAGTGGCAATAATGTGATTTGAGCAGTGTGGCAATGTAGCCCAAGACTGTAATTCAGCCCTCCTGGATGCAATTCAAGAGAAGACAGCGCTTCAGAGCAAACACAGCTGAACCTGAAGCTGCTGAGTGGTGTTTGGATGAATATGTAAACATGCTGCGCCTTCGTGCTTTCCTCTCAATAACAAAATAAACACAACAAAAACTGAAAGCGGTGTGAAAGCAGCATTTAAGAACCCATCTGATTACAGACACTTGAATGTTTGATGTGGACGTGTTTAAAAAACAGGTTTGTCTGCGAGTCTGTGAAGCAGGTTCTTCATTC